GCAACTCTCATAAGCCCAGTAGCCAAACCCTGCTATGTTCTTTCCTGTGAACTTTTTGTGCCAAAATGCATTCTTCAGACTGAGTGAAGCAAAAATAGCTTGGTTGCTTTTTTGTTTTGAAATTTCGCAGCTTTTCTCACATATGTTTTGACAGCTGTTTCGTTTTTTGCTAAATTTTATGCGCTTACGTATATTCACTAGTCATACTGTTCTCTCCTGTATATATATAATTTGTTCATTTTCTTTCAGTTTTGTGTGTTATTGTCTATTTCCATGTGATATTTTACTGCCTTGGGACAATTTTGCATGCCTTAACCTCTGCTGCATTTTAGTGCACATATGGATTTCATATAAGTGAAAGTTATATGTACAGACACAGATGTGTCTGTACTAGTACATATAGCCATCACCTGTGTCTGTCGTCACCATGCACTTTCACCGATAACAGGATAAGACTAAGTGGAACACAGTTTTTTTTTCTTTCTTTATTGAAACTTACAGATGAATATTTATAAAACGCAGGTCAAGTTCGAAAATCATCAGGATTGGGGCATTTTTTCAAAAGTTATGCTTTTTTTTCACTTTTTTAAGTGGGAAACCATTTAACCTTTTGGCTGCAAACTTACAGAAATTTTTATAAAACTCAAGTGGAATTTGAAAATCAGCATAATTGGGCCATTTTAAAAAAAGTTATGCTGTTTTTTTCGCTTCTTTAACATATATGCAGCACTGATTACAAATTTCAAGGAAAACCAATCAGCCTGCAAGGAAAACCAATCTGTCTTGCAACTTACAGGAGTGATCAATCTTACTAATATACAGATCAAGTTTGAAAATAAGTTTTATTGGTTTAATTTTGATGAAGTTATGCCTTTTTTTATATAAGTTTTTCCCCAGATTTGATTCTTAGGCATGTTAACAGTCTCATTATTGAACAAATTAGATATGTGAAAGTGATCTTTTAACATTTTCTGAATCTTAACAATATTGGTAGTTGATTATATAAAAATGATGGTAAATCTGTTATCGTACGGTGTCTGTTTGGAGGCAGATGGTGACCATGCAAAGCTCATCAAAATCGTACAGATTCACAGCCTCCATAGCCTCTACGATTTTGTCAAACTTTTATCAATCATAAGCCCGTAGACCACAACAATATCGTAGATGTCATTGCGCAGTTCCTGCACAGGGAATATTCGGTGGACTTGCGGCGTTTGTGACAATGGTAGAACCTGTTGTAGGTCTCTTTCTCTTCCTTATTCAGTGGTTTAGGAGATATAAGAATAGTTAAGATGTTTAAATGTTATTGTAATAAAGGAGTTGTACAACTGCTTGGTATAATTCATTTGCATAAATGTGAAATTGCAATTTTTCTAAATCTGAACATAAGGTTGAAAAAAATCGTAGGGGGCTGCATCAACAGCATGTTAATCTTAATCATGCGGCAACTGCAATGAGAATGAAAGGGCTCCGGATTAGCCTTTTTCAAATGAAATACAATTTTCCATACGTGATATTGAGATAATGTTGGGGAAATGGCACGGATCCTGCACGTTGTATTAGGCGTTTGTGACAATGGTAGAACCTGTTGTAGGTCTCTTTCTCTTCCTTATTCAGTGGTTTAGGAGATATAAGAATAGTTAAGATGTTTAAATGTTATTGTAATAAAGGAGTTGTACAACTGTTTGGTATAATTCATTTGCATAAATGTGAAATTGCAGTTTTTCTAAATCTGAACATAAGGTTGAAAAAAATCGTAGGGGGCTGTATCAACAGCATGTTAATCTTAATCATGCGGCAACTGCAATGAGAATGAAAGGGCTCCGGATTAGCCTTTTTCAAATGAAATACAATTTTCCATACGTGATATTGAGATAATGTTGGGGAAATGGCACGGATCCCGCACGTTGTATTAGCCGTAGCCCGTAACTATACTTACAATTTTGAAAAAAAAAAATCATACGGAAAAATATATACACTTATATGTTGCTGCACCTGTGGCAGATGTAATCAAGGCTTATCAATTTTCATAGCTCTGTACTCCGTATCACAGGATTGCCTTGTGTTAATTGTCGCGTGATGACCGTAAGTGTATTGTTCAATGTGCAATTCCCGTGCAAGGATAGCGCAATGCCATCTTGATATGGGTTAGTTACTTGCAGTTTTGCAACCCAATTAATGGTTATTTGTTAGAATTGTGAGATCAGCAGGCTAGTTGGGTAATATTTTACAGCATAAATTGAAAGAGATAAATTGAATAACCTTGTGTCCCAAGGATACTGCTTATAATTATTTATTCCCTTCATGCTTCCACCCTATCCGAGCACTTGTAATTGATACTCTGCTTCTTGATTGAAGTTGAAGATGCGAAAGATGAAAAGAGCGCGCAGCCTTGCTTTTAGCAGGTCAGGTCACAAAGTAACAGATACGGCACCTCAGGCCACAAAACTATGCATGCTTCACAGGGCAGTGAGTTGAACTCTTTGACAAAACTTTGAGCATATATGCTCCTGAACTACCTCGATCTTTCTTTGTTGGGAGATACATGGCTTCTCAGATTAGGAAATTTTTTACCTTTTTCAGTTGATTCCATTCAACTTTTCCAAAATACTGTGAAAACATTTCCTTTTCATATAAATGTCTTTGATCTAACGGCCTGTGTTTCCCGGATTCTAAGTTTAGGTTAACATCAAGGAAGTTAACTGCTCTATCGTTGGTGGATACAGTGATGTTAAGGATCAAAGACAGGTTTGATACAATGGAGAAGCACAAATGAAGTATTAGAATGGTTTAACAACCTTCATAACAAAAAGACACTTAAGTTCGACGTTGTGGATTTTTATCCCTCTATATCGGAAGATCTACTTATGAACAGCTTGGAGTGGGCAAAAAAATTCACACGAATAACGTTGACCGATATCCAGATTATACGGCATTCCAGGTGTACATTATTAAAGGATCGCAGTGGTTAAATTTGGGAGAGGAAGGATAGGGATTCACAGTTTGATGTGTCTATGGGAGCCTATGATGGCGCTGAAATTTGCGAATTAGATAGGATACAGGAAGAAATATGTGTACCGACGAAGGAGCCCGGAAGAGCAGCGTGCGTCACATCGGTAGGACTAAATAGGGATGAGGGCCTAGCCGTGATGAAATCTTGTGGTGGAAGCCAAGTTGACAGCATTAGAAAGGATCTAGTCAAGCTCTTCAAAAGTTATGACCTTAACATCACTGTATCCACCAAGGATAGAGTAGTTAACTTCCTTGATGTTAACCTAGACTTAGAATCTGGGAAACACAGGCCGTTTGTAAAACCGAACGCGCAGCCAATCTATGTTTACAAAAACTCAAATCACCCCCCCGCAATAATAAGGAACATTCCTAAAGCCATCGGTGAAAGATTGCAATCCCTTTCGTCTGAAGGGGTGGTAGCAGAAGGATCAGATATCGTATAAACGACGGCGCTTCAAACCGCGGGCTATACCGTAATGTCTTTGGGTAATAACTCAAAGCAAGCAGCTCTAGTCCCAGTGAAAAGAAAAGACGAAGCGGGAAACTTATTTGGTGCAACCCACCATACTCGAAAAATGTAAGAACGAAAATCGGGCATATATTCCTCCAGTTGCTAGACACACATTTCCCTCGCGGAAGCAAGCTTTACCGATTATTCAACAGATCGACTGTAAAAGTAAGTTACTGTTGTATGAAAAACATACAGCAAATCATTCACGGTCACAATAAAAAAATTCTCAAAAATATGTCAGTTAACAATCAAGATGACATTAGCTGGGACATCATAAAGAAATCAGCGTTGCAAAGGAGAAATCAGCATCTATGCAATCTTTGCCTGGATGAAAAAAACTGTTAATAATGATAACACCGGATACTCTAAATAAAAGAACTGAAATAATTACCATGTGTCGGCATAAGCTGAAGTAACTAACACGGCGTGCGACGTAAGTGTCGTAACGCCGTGTACGTAAAATGGCTAATAAAACCATTTTCAAATAAACCTCCTGACGATCGGGCATACCTTCTGGGTATGCCCGTGAAACTCGGAGTCGAGGTTTTTGCATGTCTTTTGTTTATTTATTTATTTATTTATTTTAATTGTGTAGAAATGCTCTGGACTGTTGGGCACTCTGTTCCACACTCAAGCTTGTTATATATATATATATATATATATATATATATATATATATATATATATATATATAATTTTTTTTTCATTTATCTTTAACCACCCCCCCCCTTCCTGACTTAAGAAGTAGTGATAAATATGCCACAATATATGAGAGACAAGGATAAAAGCAGATAAGGATAAAAGCCCGAAGGTTGGAGTTCTGAAAATTTTGTCATACCCAGGAGTTTAAAATATTAATTTATTTTTAAGCGACGAAATTTTCAAGTTTATTACCGTAGTGTATTATTGCCTCAGAAATGGTAGTCTCCTATTATGTGCATTATTTATTTATTTTGTTTTTTGTTTTTTGTCTGTATATTTGACAGCTTTGCTGCCTTACTTCTCTTTTTTGGATTGTGTGAATAATTTATTTGAATGAATTGTAGAAATCAATTTGTTCATTTTCCTTTTACAATGTAGTGCTTGCTTTTTCCACTTGGCGGCAGCACCTTACAGTGAAGCTGAAGTCTTCATTAAATCTCAATGATGTCTTGGTGTGTTTCTGTCTCTGTGTGTGTGTGTGTGTGTGTGTGTGTGTGAGAGAGAGAAAGAGAGAAAGAGTTTGTGTGTGTGTGAGAGAGAGAGAAATAGAGAGGGAGGGAGGGAGGGAGATAAAGAGCTTGTTTGTGGGAGGGTGTGGTAAGAGTGATAGAGAATTTAGTATTAAAAAGGCTCAAAGAACTTCAAAATTGATTTTAAAAAACTAAACACAATAATTCTATGCCAATTTTGAAAGCTGTATTATTTTCAGAGTACAAAAACAGAAAAAAATTGACATTTTGTTAAAACAAAGAAGTGTTCAGCTTATCCAGTATTTTGAAAATATTACAGAATTACATAACATGTACATGGCCAGGGGAAAATCTCTTTATATCTGTAATATTGTGCCATTATATCATGCATACTCAGTTCTAGATATGCTCAAGGTGACAATAAGAGCTGTAGTCATTCTGATACCCTCTCTCTTTGGTCCTCACCAACTCTTTTGTAAGACCGAATACCTGAAAATGGAAAATGGACATAAGTACAAGCACTTGTAGTATAAACTGTAGGCATGCTACCACTGGGTATTTCCTATGAAAATTATGAAAAAAATTATTTGTCGGGAATAAACATCAATTTCGCGCATTCACATTTTCTTCAGTAACAATCCGGATTGCTATATTTGTAATCCCTTTTTGAATAAATTTATAATTTAGTAAATGTACAATAATATCAAGCATAGCACATTTTACTTTTAAATGTGGCATTCGGCAAAGGCATACTTTAGTATGCTAGTAGATATACCTGCTGCAGATCTATGTCCCGTTTGGTCCATTATTAGTTGTTCATCCAGCCCTTGTTGGAATAAAGACATGGCTGTGGTAGCCCTTAATGAATGGTTGGTGTAATATCCAGATAATCCAGCTTTGGCATACATTTCAGGAACAAATGTATTAAGTGTATTGATGTCATATGGCTGGCAACTGTACCAGATAGAACCTGGGGTGCTTTTATGTAGGTTGCAAATAAAATGTGTCATCACGACCTGGAAAAAAAATTAAGCTTCTTAATACATGAATAATAAATATCGATGGGTCTCAATACATGTGCAATATAAACAGATCAAATTACTTTTGGAAAGACTAATTGTATACACTTTTGTGGTATGGGAGCTCTGAAATGGGTTCAATTTAATGTTGTTTTTTTTTTTTTTTTTATATGAAAAGGATTACACAAGTGATGTAAATATAACTGGAATAAAGAATAAGTGATTGCGTTAAGTGAACTTTGAAGTTAACATTATTACCTATACTAATAATCTTAACATTTTACCTTTGGTTGGACACAATTCCATATAGCACTTGAATAAGCACACGTGGCATCTTTGAGGGCACTTCGTGTTAATTTGGCATGATGAACAACCTCTTTATTACTTATCCCTCTGTGTTTCAACCCCCCTTGGACAGTTTTGGAACAATCCTCAGTATATTTCAATATGCTGGTTTTCCAGTGGGCTCCTATAGAGTTATTTGAGTTGGATTAAAATGGAGGCGCCTGTGTTCTTGTCCTCCTCTTAGACCAAAGTGTAATCCGTTGAGAAAAAATATAGTTTTGACCAGAACGGTAGGATTAAAATCATCTAACTTCTTACTTTTCCACAATTTTTCTACGTCGTCAGCCTGAAAGTGCTCAGCTTTCTTACTTTTACCTCCCATGCCTTTTCTTGTGAATCTTTTCGTCTTTGCGGCCAGTACTAAACGGATCCAGCTAAAATCTGGGCACTCCAAAAAGTCAATGCGCTTCTGAGTTTTTACTCTATGCAACTGCAAACCCATCACTAGGGACATAATGGAGTTCGGTGGATATTCTTCTCCATTTTCCTTACAAACTTCAACTATAAACTTAGATACCCAGTAGTTAAGTAGATCCACATTCATCTTCTGTATGGGACACGGAATTTATAATACTGATCTTCATTAATGTCATTCCCTTGACTGTCAAAAATACGTTTATCATTCCTTGCAATACTCCACTTTTCGAATGTATTTAAAGCCCACGAATTACATTGTCTGGTATTCTGATCGGTCAGGTACTCTCTTTTTAGTGAGGGAAAGCAAAGATCAAAGAAATCAACCTAGGTGGTGGGATCAAGAATGTGATCTATTAAAACAACTTAAATTCAAATGTCTCAATGATTTTAGGAAGTCAAATAATCAAAATGATTTTTAAAAAATATAAGGAATGTAAGAGTAAGTTTAAGGCACTCTGTGAAATGAAGAAAAATTCTTACACTGCAAAGGAAGTCGAGCAACTGCACGCTTTAAAAACCACAAAGGAAATATGGAATTATATAAAGTCTCTGAAAAGTGCTCAGTCTATTAAAAAGAATAATATCAGCCCACAAGCATGGCAAAATCATTTTTACAAGTTCAGGCCTACCCAACTACCAGACTCGGCACCGATGATCCTGAATTCACCGGTAAATCGGACCACACTACCCGTTTTCAAGGTGTGTATCAGATCGCATTTCACAGTATCAGACGCGACATCGCTCTTGCCTAGTACGCGATGTGATAGTGACGATTCTCAGCGGGGTTGAAAAGCATTGCATCACCACTCAAAATTTGTTCAGGGTATGATACTGTGTAATGCGATCTGACACATAAATTCAAAATTACAGTTCTTAAAACTCTTGTCAGTCCTTTGGACCGACCAAGTCCAATTTTCTACCGGTCCAGACAAAATTTCTCGGTCATGACCGATCGGACCGACAATTTCAGCATGTCTGTACGCACCATGAAAAATGGAAAATCTCCAGGTCCAGATGGATTAGTGATTGAAATGTTTAAATATGGCTTCAACCATTTATCACCATTGTTGTTAAATCTTTATGATACTGTATTAATAAGTGGAAAATTTCCCTCTAGCTGGTGCAATGCCATTCTGTACCCATTGCTCAAAAAAGGAAATGTAAATGTGGCAACAAATTATAGAGGAATTGCGCTTTTGAATGTCATGGGAAAAATATTTATGAAAATTTTGAGTAACAGATTTAATAATTGGGCAGTGGAAAATAATACAATGATTGAAGCTCAAGCCGCCTATAAAATTGGTTACTCCACTATCAATCACATTTTTACATTGAAGGTTGCGTACAAAAATACTTAAGTCAAAGAAAAGGCAGATGCTACTGTATTTTTATAGATTTCTCAGCCGCTTTCGATAGTGTTCAACACAAATTATTATTATCCTATCTTGGTTAGTTTATGCCGTAACTTGGTGCATTTATGGTATCAAAGCATTCAGTGCAGTCCACGGAACATCAACACAGTCTTTTCCAACAATAAATCCCATAACTACAATGTCCAGCGCTTAAAACGCTTCCACACTCTGTCTGAAACAGTGACGCACCGCATGGCCCCGACTCTCCTCTTCTCTCCTCTCTTTTTTCGATCTCCCCACCCAGGAGAGCTTAATTCTCTGACAGCTGGATATCAGGGTATTTACATAAATGAGGTGTTTCCAAATCTCATGTCTTTGCTTTATGCTGATGACATTGTATGCATTTCAGACACTGTTGGGGGGTTACAGAAACAAATCCATCAATTAGAAAAATATTGCAGTCAGTATGGTATGCTAGTAAATGTCCAAAAGACAAAAATAGTAGTATTTAAGAGAGGCGGTAAAATAAAGAAAAATGAAAGGTGGTTTTTCAAGGGCAAAAAATTAGAAGCAGTATCTGCATATAAATACTTAGGAACATATTTTGGAGTCTTCCTCGATTGGTGTAAAACTATCCAACATCAAATCAACCAAGCCAATAAAGCATTATTTGTTGTTAAGTTATATTTGAAAAAGCAAGCATGTATTTCCTTTAAGGAAGCTTTCTTTCTTTTTGATAGAATGATAACACCCATTCTTTTTTGTGGTGCTGAGATATGGGGTTATAAACCGGTAGAAAGTATTGAAATCTTCCAAGCAAAATTTTGTAGATATTTATTAGGTGTTAGTTCAAATACTGTGACGGAAGCTGTACTAGGCGAATGCGGAAGATATCCATAATTTTTATACCAATTATATGGTAAATAGTATAAAATATTGGTTAAAGCTTGTACATATGAATGAAGATCGCTATCCTGCTCACGTATATGATGTGCTATTTATATTAGATTCAAGTGGAAGGCACACTTGGGCCACAGATGTTAAAACACTTATACAGATATGGATTTGGATATGTCTGAGAGGCTCAGGGTGTGGGAAATTCTGTTTTTTTTATTGAAGTTTTCAGAGAAAGATTAGTAGATAATGCTAGCCAAATATGGCACATATGTAGGAGCAGCAAACTGGATACTTATTCATTATTTAAGAGTACGTAAACACTGGAGTGTTACTTATTAAGCGTTAAAAATGAAAAACATAGAACCTCACTAGCAAGATTCAGATGCGCAAATCATGCACCTACTAATTATTGAGAGCGGTAGAGGGAGAGGTATAGAAAGATGCAATAGACTCTGTTTAATCTGTAAAAAACATAATATTTATGATGTTGAAGACGAATACCATTTTTTAATGACATGTGTAGCATATACAGAATTAAGAGAAAAATATCTGCAAGTGAATAAGGGACATTTTATGTCTTTTATATATATATATATATATATATATATATATATATATATATATATATATATATATATATATATATATATATATATCTGTATATATATATATTTTTTTTTTTTTAATTGATGATTATTTATTTATTTTCAGTAGAGATGAAGATATTCACGATTATCATCACACTGAGGACAGCTGAATTCATCTGTTCACCATTTATAGATCTTCAACTTCACAGCATCAGCAAAGGTCAATTATGCAACAACGATATTGCTACAATGGTGATTTTATTCAATCCCATTGTGACCATCGCCACTATATGTTATAACTGGGAAATTATCATTTGTAAATCAGTCATTGAGATCCAAATCAGTTTTTAATATATTCAAGGTGACAAGGGTTAATGTGAACTGTTGAGAGATATTGGGGGGGGCAAGGGTTTGCTTAGCAAAAATCTTAACATAAGCAAAATTTCATGTATATACATTGATGCCTGTGCATTGTCTGTTGAGACATTGAATGTGTCTGTATGTATTCTGATCTCTGTCTATGTCNTAATTCATTCAAACCCTAAACAAACTGTTCCTAAATAGAGGTAGGGTCGAAATTCCACAAAAAAGGACGCCATTTTGAGGGTAATTTCGATATATTTTCTGCTTTTTCTCTTATTTTGCTTTTATAACAGCATCCTCCTTGCTCATGCAGCTTCTTTGATTTGTTATTGAAACATACACAACGATGTCATGAGAATTTGGTTGGCTATCTAAATTTAAATAACATTCTTGTTATGGCCCCCCTGCAGTGCACCACTAGCAAAGAATGACTGATATATAAAATGATGCCTGTTCATTGTCTGTTTGACATTGAATGTGTTTATATGTATTCTGATCACTGTCTATGTCTTTATTGTTGCTGTATGTGTAGATTATAATATTATAATATATTTTGATCACTGTGTTATGTCTGTGTTGTACCTAATGTATGTGTGTGCATATATATATTTTTTATTGATGATATATTATCTTTTTTCAGAAGGGATGAAGGTGTGTTTCCTGGTTTATCGTCACACTGAGGACAGCTGAACTCATCTGAACCTCGCAGCCTCATCACAGTTCAGTACAACAATGATATTGCTACACTGGCAATTCTTTTCAATCCCATTGCGACCACTGCCACTATAAGTTGTACCTGAGAAATCATAATTTTGGAATAGATCCCACTCAGTTATATTTATTTCCAAGTTGACAAGGGTTAATGTGAACTGTTCGGAGTTTTTTTTTTTTTTTTTTTTTTTTTTTTGGGGGGGGGGGGGGGTTTTTTTTACATAAATTTTTTTTTGGAAAAATTTTATTGTTAAATTTTTGATTCTTTTGTTTTTTTGTTTTGNATGTATTCTGATCTCTGTCTATGTCTTTATTTTTTGTTGTATGTGTTTATTATATGTTGTACCTGAGAAAGTATCATTTTGGAAAAAGGACACTTAGATCCCACTCAGTTTTACATATATATTCAAGGTGACAAGGGTTAATGTAAACTGTTCGGGGTTGGGGGGGGTGCACTTAGCAAAAATATTTATATATATAAAATGATGCCTGTTCATTGTCTGTTTGACATTGAATGTGTTTATATGTATTCTGATCACTGTCTATGTCTTTATTGTTGCTGTATGTGTAGATTATAATATTATAATATATTTTGATCACTGTGTTATGTCTGTGTTGTACCTAATGTATGTGTGTGCATATATATATTTTTTATTGATGATATATTATCTTTTTTCAGAAGGGATGAAGGTGTGTTTCCTGGTTTATCGTCACACTGAGGACAGCTGAACTCATCTGAACCTCGCAGCCTCATCACAGTTCAGTACAACAATGATATTGCTACACTGGCAATTCTTTTCAATCCCATTGCGACCACTGCCAGTATAAGTTGTACCTGAGAAATCATAATTTTGGAATAGATCCCACTCAGTTATATTTATTTCCAAGTTGACAAGGGTTAATGTGAACTGTTCGGAGTTTTTTTTTTTTTTTTTTTTAGGGGGGGGGAGTTTGCTTAGCATAAATCTTTATATGGACAAAATTTCATGTATACATTCTGATACCTATGCATTTTCTGTTGTGACATTGAATGTGTCTGTATGTATTCTTATCACTGTCTTTGCCTCTATTGTTGCTGTATTTGTTAATTATATGATATAATAATATATTTTGATCACTGTGTTATAACTACTATATGTGTCTACATATATTAATTTTTATTGATGATGCATTATCTGTTTTCAGTAGAGATGAAGGTGTGTTTCCCTGGATTATCGTCACACTGAGGACAGCTGAACTCATCTGTTCACCATCTAGTTCTTCAACCTCACAGTATCAGCAAAGGTCAGTGCAACAACAATATTTCCATACTGGTGATTCTTCTCAATCGAATTGCAACCATCGCCACTATATGTTGTACCAGAGAAATTCTCATTTTGGTCACTTAGATCCAAATCAGTTTTAGATATGTTGAAGGTGACAAGGGTTAATGTGAACTGTTGGGAATTGGGGGCTGGTGTGCGCTTAGCAAAGGTCCTTATATGGACAAAATTTCATGTGTCCATTCTGATGCCTATGCATTGTCTGTTGTGACATTGAATGAGTCTGTATGTATTCTGATCAGCTGAACTCATCTCAACCTTACATCATCAGCACAGGTCAGTGCAACAATATTGCTACACTGGCCATTCTCTTCAATCCCACTGTGACCATTACCACTATATGTTGTACCTGAAAAATTATTATTTTTGAAAAGGGTCACTTACAGTGCATTACCACAGGTTTTAGTTCGATCTAACCCTGTGGGGAGTCTCACTAGATTACTGTCAGCTTAGCCGGCTTAAATATCTGTCCCGACTACTAAAAGCTGTAAGGGGTAATTATCTTCTGTGCGCACTTGGCTGACAGCAATTTAGCGTGAACCCCCAATGAGTTAGGTCGATCCAGATTGATCGATCTAAATCATTGGGAATTCAGTATTAGATCCCACTCAGTTATATATATATTTTTTTTCAAGGTGACAAGTGTTAATGTGAACTGTTCGGAGTTGGGGAGGTGAGGGTTTGCTTAGCATAATTATTTTTATGGACAAACTTTTTTCATATATACATTCTGATACCTGTGCATTGTCTGTTGTGACATTTAATGTGTCTGTACTGTTCTCATCACCGTCTGTCTTTATTGTTGCTGTATGTGTTTATTATATAATATAATAATATATTTTGATCACTGTGATATATCTGTGTTATAACTAGTGTATGTGTCTATTTATTTATTTTTTATTACCTCCACCAAGGAAGTTATGTTTTTGGTTCCATTAGTTTGCCTGTCTGTCTATCTGTCTCTCTGTCTGTCTGTTAGCAACATTATAGAAAAAGTTATGGACCGATTTTGATGAAATTTTCTGGAACTGTCAGAAGTGGGCCAAGGAACAGATGATTACCTTTCGGTGGTGATCCGGATCTTTAGTCAATCAATAATCAATAATCAAAAATAAAAAAAAAACTAAATCATTGTAGCATGAAAATTTAGGGATGAAAGGCATTGGGTGGAGACTTTGCTGCCTTGGCGGAGGTCTGCGCTCTCAGAGTGCTTTTTTAGTTGATGATGTATTATCTGTTTTCAGTAGAGATGAAGGTGTGTTTCCTGGACTATCGTCACACTGAGGATAGCTGAACCCATCTCAACCTCACAGCATCATCAGCACAGGTCAGTGCAACAAGGATATTGCTACACAGGTGACCATTGTGACCATTGCCGCTATATGTTGTACCTGAAAAATTATCATTTTGGAAAAGGGTCACTTATATATCCCACTCAGTTTTATGTATGTTGAAAGTGACAGGGGTTAATGTAAACTTTTCGGCCTTTGGGGGCAAGGGTTTGATTTGCAAAAATCTTGATATAGAAAAAATGTCTTTATTGTCGCTGTATTTCTCTATTATAGTATATAAATATATATATATATTTTTTTATTGATGATTTATTATCTGTTTTCAGTAGAAATGAAGGTGTGTTTCCAGGATTATCATCACAATGAGGACAGTTAAATTCATCTGTTCACCATCTCCTTCTACAACCACACAGTATCAGCAAAGGTCAGTGCAACAAAGATATAATGCTACACTGGTGATTCTATTCAATCCCATTGTGTCCATCGCCACTACATGTTGTAACTGGGAAATTATCATTTGTAAATGGGTCATTGAGATCCAAATCAGTTTTTGATATGTTCAAGGTGACAAGGGTTAATGTTAGCTGTTTGGTATTGGGGGATGAGGGTTCGCTGGGCAAAACACTTGATATAAACAAAATTTCATGTATACATCTTGATGACTTTGCATTGTCTGTTGATATGTTGAATGTGTCTGTATGTATTCTGATCACTGTCTATGTATTTATTGTCACTGTATGTGTTTATTATAATATAATAATATATTTTGATCACTGTGTTACACATTTTTTAAAAATGGCCCAATTCTTTTTCACCAAGTGGGCCAAAATGGCCCTACCAGATTTTGACCCAGGTATAAAGATCCCTGTTATTCTCAGGAAAATCCAATTTATTTACTTTTTAAAACATAAAATCAATAGAATGTTTCTAGAATAAATTTTCAAAACAACACCAGAGGGCAAATTAAATCAAATCAACCAGTGGCTAAACACAGGCAGGCTTTGTCAATTTCACCAACTTGTTTATTTCAAACAGTGCACTTTTCGGACATGCGCAGTCGTTTGAATCC